CTGTCTCTATACCCTGGCAGGAAGAAATTATTGAAACAGGACTGTTTGAAGAACTGAATGATCCTAACAGAGTAGATTCTGGGGGATACGCAAATGGAGGTGAAGCTAAGTCAGGAGTTTGTTTGTTATTGTAAATATGACATCATTAGCAAAAAGAGTAGAAACCACCCCAGAACTTTCCATATTTTTACACTGTTTCAGAAACTCAGTTTGTCTGTTTAAGAAGAAACAATCAATGTAATATGACATTAACAGGGTGTGTAGGACCACAAGCTGTATAGACTGTGTTATTTTCCTTTGTCCTAGCAAAGGAGATGATATTTTTATTTTATTGGAAACTTACCAACTTGAAGAGCCGTATGTCTCTAAGGAACTTAGATTGATAGAAATTCAGAAATACGAAAAGCAGTAACAGTGTGAAGAGGCAACCCCTTCTGAAAATTACTGACTACTATTTTGAATACAATCATTTCTTGGTTTTCTTTCTATTTTCTCGTTATTTCTACTAATGTTTTGTCTTTGTTCTACAGTATCCAGCAACATTTTTTTAATTTTTAAGTAATACGCTCAGTCAGACAATGGACCTCACATTCTACATCAAACTTGGAATCTTATTGGTTAGCCAGTCTGTCTGTGATTTTCTTCATTTCTGTTAGTTTTTGGAGGGTTAGATTGTAATATGTTCAAATTGTCATAAAACGTAGAAGACTTTACAAATCACTAGCAAATAGGACTGACAGGATCCAATTGTTTTCAAAGTTGACTTTAATAGAGTGACGATAAGATTGCACCTATTTAATTGAATAAAGCATTTATTATTATTAAGCGTATTTTTTTAAGTGGTAACACCAAACACAAAGAATATATTCTTCTATATGAATACAAATTCTATTTGACAACAGATTTCAACCTTTTATCACATTTTCTGATAATGTTTCTGTATTTTGTGATTAGTGTAGGTCAAGTTAAACTAGAAATAGACCAAAATAGCTTGAAACTTGCTTTTTACAAGAAATGCATTTCAGTGTAACAAAAATATTAATTCAGTAGTCACAAATATTAAATACATTATACTATTAAGTGCTGTAATGGTGGAAAGGCTATGTATGTAAATTAACACCTCAATCCTCAGAGATTCATTGAATCTTACACAAAATCTTGATATATTTGTTGGATCTTTCAAGTTTTTGACAACCTAAATTGAATTAAATTAAATTAAATTATCTCTGTCAAGAAGAAAATAGATGGTAGCAGTTTGCAGCAACTTTAAAACTGATTCTGGATGCTGATTACTTTCATGTACCTTTCGTAATTTCCATTGGCTGAAGTGGACGTTGCAAGTGCTCCATTCCTTAGTGTCTTGGAGGCTGCTAACACGCTGTTCCTTGTTTTTCATAGAGCAAACTTTCGACTGAACGCAAGGGAATCTTTTATATAGACACCAGGGTTGAACTACTACGCTTGTTTTAAAAGAGGAACAACAAAAGATATGCTGTCATCTACAGTCACATCTATCATGTACAACATACAGCTTTAGTGATTATTGATAATCTAATAGCTCATTCCAAATGTTGCAGTAGTTAAACAGTCTTTAGTTTTAAATATTTTTAGATGATTTAATCACAACTAAATCATACATTGTATTGTTCTTCATTTTTGTATAAAGATAACTAAGCAGAAAAAGAACTGTTCCTTTTTTTTTCCTTTTAAATTTGCCTCTCTCTTGCTTTATATACTTAATTTTCAGGTGAAAAATCAGGAAAAACAGTGTTACTTAGGATTAATGATTAGTTCTGTTCATAAATTGTTATCAGCATATAATTGCGAGCATTTTGAGGGGAGACTTTTTATCAAATAGTTTTAAACAATATAGGCTGTTATGGCTTGGGCTTTTAATATGTTGAAAAGGATGATGCTAAAAGATTGTGAAAAGCAGAGGAGGCTGAGAGGAAAGATACGATGTGATTCTAAGGTAAGATGTGGTTCTGTCACAGAACTAGTAAAGCCGTTCCACTGTTGACCTCCAGTGATTTTATTTCTCTCTGCTTTCATCTGTAGAAACTCTCATAGAGTGATATTAGGCTAATATATTTAGTAATTTCAGATTCCCAGACATAAAACTTTATTACATGTGCATGTCAGCAAAAAAAACTATAAGAGCTAGCAGAGGCCCATTAGCGCTAGCGGCACTGAACTTTTGTCCTAAACAGGTGCACTTGTCAAATCCACAGAAATGCCATTTCACAAATCCTCTAGATTCGTAAAGCAGGACTCTGAAATGGCTATACCTTTTCTAGCACATAACTAATTTTTTGGTATACACATGTTCCCATGTGGAAAGAAGTTATGAATAGACAGAACCAGCACTTTATGCCATGTTAAAATCATACTTACAATGCCCGGTGTTGCAAGCCTGGGTTTTTCAAAACGTATTGCAGTACTGAGATACGCACATAATGAGATGTCATATGCGCATAAAATTAGGTTATTTACTTTTAGAAACGTTGTGGTGTCAATAAACCCCAGTAAGATGTATATCGGTGATCTATTGTGAGCTATTTAAGTGTTCCATGAATCGTTCAAAGAAGCACACTAGTAGTCCGATAATGCACAATCTGGCACAGTGTATTACAGAGAAAAAATGTATTAGTTTGACATTATTGGTTTTAATTTTCTAAAATTCTCTATTTCAGAGACAAGGACAACTCCTATTTCCACTATGAAGAGACAGATAGAGCAGAGCAAAGGTTACAGATGTAATTCTGTTAGCATTTTCAATGCATTTTTTAAAAATTAATTTCAGCTTCTTTCAAGGCATCTGTGAAATGCTCGGGTCTTTTCTTCTTCCTGCCTATCAGGTTCTTTGTTACACTTTTTTTAACGCCGTGCTTCACCTTAAAGAAACAAAGCCAGGAATCCTAAACGGTTTATGCCTGTGGTGATTTGTCCTATTGAATCCAATGATATTACTCACGTGAGTAAAATTGAAGGCATGTGTAAGTATGCAAGATCAGGGCCTAATTCAAAAGCGTTGATTAAGTCTTTGGATGTTTATAACAGAAAATGAGGGATGAAGTTGTGGGAGGAGAATAATCTTGTGGCTGTGGGATACGTAAGTGCTTATGGCAAAAGAAAATTATGTAACTTGAAACAGCTTTTTCTTCCTTTAGCTGTTTTGCTCTTTCCCCCTTTGCCAGCTTTGTGGCGCCTCACTTGCCTACCTCTTTTTAAGGCAGATAAGATGCATTCTAGTGTCAGTCTAATCTAAAAAACTAAATTGTGAACTCTATTGCATTAAATGCCATCTGTGAAAAGCTACAGAGTACCCTGGCTACCCTGCAGTGATTGTCCTTACAGTGCTTCATAGGGAAAATGGTGCTGTCTTTCCTGCCCTGTTTTACTTGGTATTGATACTAGAAGTCTTGACTGTTTTAAGGAAGTAGGCTGAAATGCAAGATTCTTAATGACTTGAAAACTATTCTTTTAAGAACATCATTTAAAGTACCCAAGCCAACATTCAAGAAAGGCTGCTGGCACAGAGAGAAAAGCTTTCCTTTGTTTCTCAAGTCTAAATTTTCTTTGACACCCTCCCCGTTACCTTTACCCTTAGCCTACTTATCTCATTGAGCACAAAGAAACCAAATGAGTATTACTATTAATATAACGAATTAATTGTCCATAAGGATTATTTTATCAGTAGCAGTAAAGCTCTAGCTATGCTCCAGCGGATGTTGTATCATTGCAAAGGCTCAATTAGTCAATAAGCGTCTTGTGTTTTGCAAGTAGTTCACCTTTCTATTTTAATAGGAAATTGATTTAGTAATTTGAACCTGCATGGAATTTCCGTGCTGTCCATCAGCATCAGGCATCAGCTTCATATAAAGTCAGGAGCCTCTTAGCATATCTGATTTTTTTAGGTAGTTCTTTCTTTAACCATAAACAAATTTCAATGCAGAAAGCAAAATGGAACTGAGATGAGATACTCAATTAGAGTGGGCGCATGTAAGTATACAGTATAACCATAAAACGTTGCATAGTTTTATATAGTTTTAATATCAACATTGCTTTTTAGAAATAAAATGCTCTTAATACTGTATTGAGATTATTGTTGCTTTCACTGCTTTTAAGAAAATATATAAAATATTCCTGATCTTAATATTCACATATAAGATTAAGATAAATAAGTACGCCCATCTCATTCACCTTTAAAATATTAATACCTTCTTTTATGCTATAATTGTTTGTGCAATTTATCATTAGATTTTTAATGTAAAAATATTTAAATTCCTTGAATCTGTCGATGCAAAATTCATTTTAGCTGTGCACAGTGGCTTTTCCCCAAAATATAATTTAAATTAAGTGTTAAGATGTCAGCAACTATGGCTAATATCACTGCAGAATTACTTAAGATCCTACAGCTTTGGTGGGTTTTGCTAAAAGAAAAGCATACATTTTTTTCAAATGACAAATATCAATTTTGAACTCTATAGATATCAGAAATTACTAGCTTTTTATATTGTGAATAGACCTGTAACTTATAATGTTAGGGGCAATGGCCACCTGTGATCATTTCTGCTTAGGGAGTACATTGAAACATGGCATATGATAGCCTTAGGGAGCTTCCTAGGCATATTAAAGAATGCATGGACATCAACTGAAACAAATTCAATTAAACATACAATTTTTTTTTATAATTAGGGTTTGCATTATTACAGCAAATAATTCCAGATGTAGCATCTCATTTTAAAAACAGTGACACAAAAAGATGAATGTTTCTTGGGAAATCATTGTTTGGTATTTCCCCGACTTTCATTTATATAACTGCCTGAACCTGAGCAGAGCTAATAAAGAGTTCTTACTGGTTAGTCCTTGGCACTTGCAGAAGTGTAAATAAACACACATGGGAGCGGAAGTCTGTTAGGCATCTCTGGCCTGGAAGGGATGAAGAGCAAGAATGCAGAA